CTTATTAAGACTTAAACATTAAATAATTATATTTTATTTGTATTTAATTTTGTATTTTAATATTGATATATTTACAGATTCAACAGTTAAAACTAATTGTTTTGATAGGAATATAGTTAATAATACTAAATCTTTTACCAAAACTAAATTATTGTCAAGTCCTCGGTCAAGTCCTTTAGGTAGTATTTTATTTTATAATACGATTTCTTAAATGTAAAAAAGAAATTGCATTCTTGTCTTATGTGGTTAATATGAATAAAAAAAATAACAATAATAAAACAATATATAATATTATATACACAATTACACATAATCTTATGCATCTTTATGCATAAACATAATAAGAAACACACTGTTATCTAACTATCCAAATCTAAATACTATGATTTATTTTTATTAATTTTTTACATTATTAACATTAGGTATACCTACCTATAAATATAATTATTTACATAAGTAATTATCAAAAAATATTTTGTATTTCAACATAATTTTACATCTATCTAAGAAAACATTTAAATGGGTCACCTTATTTATAATTTATCAGACTCCACCATTGTTAGTCTGCTAAATATATGAGTATCAATTTTAATAAGATAATTTTCTTTTAAAAATGTTAAATAGTATTTTCTTTTGACTAAACAATTAAATTTAAATTTTTGACTAACAATTAACTTAAATTAGCATATTATATAGTTTAATCGCCGCCGCCCTTATGATTCGGTGGGAATGGCTGTAGATTTGTGATGGATTCAATTATGCGGTAGACCGCATATGACAAGAGTACTAAATAAACATGCTATGAATAATTAATGATATGATATTATAATATACTTAGGTTCTTCTTCCTCAAAATATCAAAACGATTCTCCAAATCAAAATGATTATTCTATGTTTTTATCAAATACTTATGAAAATCATTCAGAGAGTCCTACAGGTAATATTCTTAAAAATTTAATTAAAATCATTAAAATAAATAAATATGTATCTTATAGGTATACATACTAAACCAACAAAGTCTGCAGCTAGTAAAAAATTGTTCAACTCGCCCAACAAAAATAATTATAATGCATCGCCTTCTTCAACTATTACTTCATCGTGTGGTTCTCATGATTCAAAACGTTTAAGTGGTAATTATTTGATTAACCTTAGCTTTTATGTATTTGTTAATAATAAATTTTTTTTTAATTTGTAGCAGTTAAATCCCCTATCAAGAACTATCAATCTAGTAAAGTAAAAAAATCAAGCTACAAAATATCTCCTTTGAAAAAAAAATTAACAAATTTAAAGAATCTTACAGGTAATTAAGTGTATTTAAATGTAACACCCATTTTAATATGTCTTATGTTTAATAGTGTAGGTACACCTATAGTTGGGAGTTTTACGCTAGTATAATTTTTAAATGCTTCAATTTTTTTTTTTTTTTTTAAACCATTTTATATATTATTGTAATGACATTTTAAAATTATAGTTTAGGAAAAAAAATCAAGAAATGGTAGTTTAATTTATATAAAAAAAGTTAAATACCTCCTGTACCAAAAATAAATCATAATTTATAGTTGTGGTATTAATATTACTGCAGATCAAACTATATTTATTTATAATATATTGAATTTTACATTTTTAAATAGATATGGATGTAAAGACACTTCTTAAAAATCAGCTCGTAATAAAATATGAAGTAAAATCGTTAAATGAAAAACTAGATTTAGTTTTGAAGATACTTGAACGAGTTGAAGAAGGAAAATCATTGCAAAAACATAATGAGTACGAATATGCAAATTTGGATTGTCTTTTCCCTATTGATTCGGAAACTGACCTTATAAGTTTAGATGATCAATTAAGAACTGATGCTGCGTATAGAGAGAAAATGGTAATGATTTCATAGTATTATGTTATGTACAATTAATTCTTTATAAACCAACGACAGAATAAATGTCTTTTGGAGGAGTGTAGGGTAAAATCATAATGTAATAACTTGTGAAGAGTGACTGCAAATGCGATTTTCAGTCATTAACATAATTAATACATATACCTACTATATAACTGTTTTTTTTATTCAATGAGAATATATTACAACATAATATAATATATATGTAACTATAATAGGTTCATATTATATATTATAATATAGGTACTAAAACATTTTTAATTCTTGGTTGTTATACAGATCTACTATACATACATAAACTTATAATAACTGTATAAAATATATTTAACTTCTGACTTTGTTTTTATATTAAATTGCTTAAAGATGAATTAAAGAAAAATAATTATTTTTATTTATTAGGTCAAAGATTTATCATTTACTGGTGGTCAGGACATACAGCATATTCTAAAACGGATCATGACTAAATTATTTAGCGACACTTTATTAAAAGATTATTCTTTTATTGGTAAAGGTATTCACAAAAAGAAATGTTTTGCCGATTTAATTATTTGCAAAGTTATATTTGGTAAGTCATAATTATAAATACATAATTTTACATTCTGATTCTGAATAATCCAATTAATTATATTTCTGTTAATATATTTATAGTATGTGAAGTTATGAATTATAATCAAATCAAAAGATATATTATCATAATTATAGTACATTTCAGTACATGGATTTTTTTATTTTTAAACTTTAATTATAACTGTATTAAAATCTGTTGAATATTATCATTTTTCTTAAGTTTCTCATTAAATTGTCTATGAAGTTGGCAATAGAAATTTCAATATATATAGGTGTACAAGTGAAAAATGAATAAATACCTATTTTAACACATTGAAAATCGTCATTTATGTTAATGAATAGAAATTTTAAACTTTTTAAAAGTATACCCTAATATAATATTAATATCTTTATATTAGCTTTAACTATTATTAATGCTAGTATATAAAGATATATTAGTATTATATTAGGGTATACTTTTAAAAAGTTTAAATTTTCTATAGCTGTACTTATTATAAATTTTATTTATTTTAAAGATAAATTGGTTTATTGAATATTATATGGTTTATTTATAGAGTCTATCCGGAGCATTAAAAAGTTTTCTGACATCGGCCAACAACAAATAGAGGAAAAATTGAAGTGTTACTTGGCCCAAGCGCCTTTTAGGCTCAAACGAAATCATGCAAAAGGCAATAGCAATAATACTAATATTAATACTACATAATTATGTATTTAAATTTATTATATTTCCTAACTTATTATATATATATATATATTACGGTAATTATATTATTGTAATTATATATATATATATTTGTAATGTATTGAACATCCAATAAATAAAGAAGTCATGACTATTCTGAATATATTGTTCTTTATTTATTCAATTTTTATCATAATTTAATTCATGACTATTTTTATTTTGTAATAAATTATATCTCTATACTAAAAAAAAAATTTTTGAATAATTACAATGGTAACCAAACCATAAACAAATGAAAGTTTTGGGGAATACAGGATTGAGTGCAAATTTGATGAGGATTCATTCAAATATATTGTATTTAATGATGCATTACAGTATCCATATGTGTTATTTATTAAATTTTATTTAAATTGTTAATAATAATATTCACATTTGTATTATTTTTCATTGTGATTTTTTGTGTATAGGAGTTTAAACTCTTATAATATAATATATATATAGCTTGCACGAACCAGCTTATTGGAGAGTTTGGTCAGTAAAGCAAGCAACGGTAGAACCCAAGAGCCCCCAATACACAGACACACACACACACATCTACAAATATAAATGTACTCTCATACATGAATACAATAGATTGCATTATATAATATAATGCAATCTATTGTATATATATATATATATATAGGTTAGGTTAGGTTAGGTTAATTATATACAATATGGTAAATTGAAAGTAAAAGATTGAGGCAATATTAATTTCATCCAACTAAAATAATATTACTAATATTGTTATTGTAATATTCGTTCAGTGTTATCTTTTAAACCAAATTACAATATTGTTAGTGTAATATTCATTCAGTGTTGTCTTTTAAACCAAATTACAATATTGTTTTTTGGTTCACAAAACGCTTCTGCAATATTGTGCAAATGTGAATCTAAGTTAATAAAATTAATGGGCAATATTGCAGTCATATTCCATATTTAAATTAAAATCTTCATATAACTTAACTGCAATGTTCACATGTTATCTGGGGTAGTGCTTCGATTGTAATATTTATATATAAGTAATATGGGAAGACAGAGAGATGGTCAGAGTGTGGTGATCGTGTGACTCGATTACCACTGGGCATCCGAGTTTTGACCACTGGGCATCCGAGTTTAATAAAGTGCATATAATATTATTTGTTTGTCTATTTGTGTACGTCTGTGATCGACGTATACGACAAAGTGCACCCAACTAGTGGCCGTTATTCTACGAACTATGTGTGTGTGTGTGTGTGTGTGTGTGTGTGTGTGTGTGTGTGTGTGTGTGCATTTGTGTGTTACTTACACGATTCAAGGGACAAGCCAACCATTTGGGTGTTTTTTGATCAGATGCGATCTTTGGATTCCACAATAGTGTGTGTTCCAAATAAGAAAATTGAACTTTTACGGAGGGAAGACTACGAGCAATTGGATCCATCATTTTTGGTGTTTTACACACTCGAGGTGAATATTAGTGTATAGTTATAATATCTTGTATATATGCGATCTATAATTAAGAATAATTCTTCGTTTATCTATGTATAATTTTTAGCGTTAATTAAATTATATCTTAATTTTAATAGGGGCAGTAGTTATTTAATTAGTTTTATATTAGAATAAAATTGATCTAGTAGTAATAATTTGCTGTCCAAATGCTCCTAATAAATTTTTTGTACAATAAATCTAATAAAATTTATTAATAAATTTGTAAATTTAACATAAGTATAAATTGAGTATAGAATTTTAGTTAAATGTAGATAATTATAATTAAACACAGTTATAATATGTCAAAATATAGATTTTGGATTATTTAAATTAAATTTTCAATTTTATAAATTAATGAATCAATTTAAAGACCCAAAATCGGATCTTTCTATAACAATAAATACAGCAACAGAAATATATACTCTCAAAAAACCATTTCTTATTAAATATTGCGAAAGTAAAAAACTAACATCAACAGGTACAGCTAGTGAATTAAGAGCTAGAATTAGTAGATATTTAAAAGGCACTATAACATTAGACGACATAGATAACACATTAAGCAAAGAAGAATGTGATTTACTTTTAATCAAAGCAAAAGCTAATAAAATCGATTTTATTAAAGAAGAAAAAGAAGCAGGATTATTTGATTCGAACGATTCGAGCCCTGACACATATGAAATCAATAAATTAACTACAGATAGCTTTTCAGAAACATCAAAAGATAATTTAAGATTATACGATAATCTTAATGCCAGTACAAGCTCATTTGTGAATAATACCGAAAATATTTTAGAAAATTCAAATACAACTTACCAAAATTGTCAAAAGGAAAGTGCTGAAACTTATGAAAATATATTAAAAAATCTTAAGATTAATGATACTTCTAATAATATTTATGAGGAATTAAAATTCAATAATCAACCAGAAAATAGTGAGATTATTGATAATCAATTAATAAATTTTAATAATTCTACAAATATTATTGACTCTAGTAATACAAGTGAAAAACCAGAATTCGAAAACGAAAACACAGCAATAATAATAAATAATCAAAAAGGAGATAACCTAAACTCTGAAATTGTTTCTACTCCGTTAAATAAACAAACATAAATAATGACTAGACCAGACCATTTCTCAGGTAATGAGGACGTAAGAAAATTTTTTAAGCAATACTAAAAGGCAGTAGATGTAAACGGTTGGAAGGACGAAGATAAAGTAAGATTTTTATCGGTATTCGTAAAAGGTACAGCAAGTATATTTTTGGAAAATTATGAGGACAAACATAATAATTGGACATGGAATGATTAGAAACAGGAGTTTCTCGACGAATTTCAACCAACCGGTTACAATACAATTCTAAAAACTAGATTAGAAAATAGACGTCAAGGAGATACAGAGTCTATAATGAGTTTTGTAACAGAAATAGAAAATATATGTAGACAATTAAATAAAAATATGCAGGAAGAAGAAATTTGCACTTATATTTTAAAGGTATTAAAAGAGACAGTCTTACATGCGATTTCATTAAACGACAATAGCAACCTAAAAGAGCTAAAGAAAAATTTAAAACAATTTGAATTGATGCAATTTCGAATTAATAACAGAGGACCAGAATTAAGTGATTATACAGAAATTCTTAATGAACATGTACCTCAACTAAACCAAAAAACAAAAGAAAAAGGAAGAGAAATCGATGAACTAAAAAGAAAGTTAATAGAGAGAGGTAGAGAATACAGAACGGCAAAGGTTATAGAAACAGATCACATTCAAGAGATCGAGATAATAATGGAAATTACAATTTATTACAGTTACAGGTATCAATACAGCAGAGAACATAGTCGAGAGAAAACACCAGAAAGATACAGGGGAGATCGCTATAATAAAGAATCCGAAAGAGTTACATGCTATAGGTGTAATGAAAAAGGTCACTATGCTGATAAGTGTACAAATACCAAAAACTAGGAACGACCGGATTAGGAGAAAAAATCGGACGCTTAACTCGGGAAAATAATAAAGATAGCGAAGTAACATATATAATCAACGAAGAAAAAGAACAATATTTATTTTTTGTAGGACAATGGTATAAAAATAGAACGATTAAATTAAATAATGACATTAAGAGAAAAAACAGAGTGTTATCAATAGAAGCAGAATTTAAAGACAAAATGAAACAGGCAATAATAGATACAGGAGCTAATATTTCATATATAGAATATTCATTAGTTAAAGATAAAGAGAAAATCACTCCAGAAGAACAAACGATTATCACTGGTGCAAATAACTCTAAGTTAGAAAACATGGGAACAATACAATTAAAAATAAAAATACAAGGTAGCAAATATGAAATTACAGCTTATGTAATAAAACACTTTGTTTTATTTTATAAACATTTTATTGGGTAACATTTTTTTTTTTTAAATATGGTCTAGTCATTGATTTTGAAAAAAAAGAAATACAATTTAGGACGGGAGGAAGTATAGAAATGGATAAGAGTACAACATAATGGAACACTTGAAGCGATATATATGTTGAAATATACAATTAATATTAGTATTCAAACCATGTAAACACACGTGCGTGTACAATGTCGTTTTCTAATAGATACTTATGCAGTTACGATATAGCTGTGTAACACCTTTACTATCGCTTTCTATATTATATACGGATACGGGATGGCCTCGATTGTTCATATATATAGGGCCTTTGATGTATGTAATATTCACTTGCACAGACGCTGTCATACCGAGTGTACGCGGTGTGTGTGTATAGTCACAGTTTAATTGTCCAGTTGTACGTTATTATATATTATACTTATACATAATCATATTGTCGTGTTATTACTTATTATATTAATGCTAACATCATTAGTCCGTCAAGCTTCACTTTCAACAATATAAAACTGCGATTGAAACAAATATGACAAGGGAATACATTATAGATAAAATAATAGCAAAAGAGGATACCGTAATACCACCGAAAACAATAGCTAACATTAAATTTAAAACTAATATGGGGGCAATAAATGAACAATTAACTATACATCCAGTGGACCGTTTAAGCCAAAACCAATATTTAAAATTGGAAACAAATATTCTAGACAAAAACATTAAAGAAATCCAGGTGTACAATTTTTCAAATCTATATACAAGAATATATGAAGGCACCATAATAGGAACAATAGAATATAAAAAGAAAGATGGTTTATTAATAATTAATGAAACAAGTAAAGACATCATCGACAGACAAGGTACGGTCATTAAAATTTCAAATGACTTAACTAATAAACAGAGAGAGAAGGCAACACTATTAATAAGTAAATACCAACATTTGTTTACCTCTGAACAATTGGAATTAAATTGTGCCAAAGTGAAAGAGTGTGAGGTTAATTTAGACTCAAAGGACCCGGTTTTCCAAGCACCATATAGAGTTTCTCCAAAACAAAGAGAAAAATTGAAAAACATAATTGATGAAATGACAAGAGCAGATATTATAGAACCCAGTAAGAGCAGTTATGCAGCGCCAGTATTTCTTATACCTAAAAAACAGAAAGGAGAATACCGTTTCTTAGTGGATTTTAGGAAACTCAACGAACAAACGATAAACGATAGACACCCTATTCCTCGTGCACAAGACATATTTAGAGCATTAGAAGGAGCTAAATATTTTTCTACCGTTGACATGGCCCAGGGTTATTTTCAAATTCCGGTAAGGAAAGAGGACCACGCCAAATTAGTATTCACTACGGATTCTGGATTATTTCAATTTAAACGAATACCACAAGGGTGGAAAAATTCGGCACCAATTTTCCAAAGAACAATCAATAACATTTTTAGTGATTATTTGTATAGATCAATAGTAGCTTATTTAGACGACAAATGTTGTTTCGCAGATGAGTTTGAAAAGGCACTATGTAATTTAGAAAAAATGTTTATAAAGAAATATAGCAGCTGTAAAAAAATTTCCTAAACCAACCAAAATCAAAGATGTCAGAGCTTTCATTGGATTATGTTCATACTATAGGAAATACATAAACAAATTTTCAAAAATAGCAAACCCACTTATAGAAATTACTAAAAAGGATATCGGATTTAAATGGGGAAAGGAACAAGAAATAGCTTTTGAATTTTTAAAACAGGCAATAATTACAGCTTCAGTATTAGCACATTTTAAGGAAGGTAGAGCAATTTATATTACAACGGATGCTTCATTGGAAGGACTAGGAGGAATATTAGAACAAGAGGACGAAAATGGAAAAACACATCCTATAGGTTACACATCCAGGAAATTGAAAGGAGGGGAAAAAAATTATTCAACAACAGAATTATAAATGGCTGCAGTAGTTTTTGTGATAAATTATTTTAGAGAATATCTGTTAGGAAGGGAGTTTATTGTGTATAGTGATCACTCGAGCTTGCAATATTTTAAAACAATGAAAAATCTATCATCTAGAATAACTAAGAGTATATTTAAGTTAATTGAATATGATTTTATAATAAAACATAAAGCAGGTTCAGAAAATCTAACAGCAGACAGTCTATCTAGGTTTCCAATAAATTTGACTGAAATAGAGAAAAAATACAAATGAAGATTTAAATATAGAGATCTTAGAAACACAACAAGCAAAAGATGAATTTTGTTTGAATATTTTAAGAGCACTTAAAGGGATAGGTGAAAGAAAATTTACTAGAAAGTCACGGAGATATTGTGAAAGAAACAACATATTATTTTACAAACAATGGAACAGAAACACATTAATTAACCTAATAGTCATTCCAAAAGAGTTAGTCAATACGGTACTAAAATCATACCATGAATCTATTTTTAGTGGACATTTTGTTATAACGAAAACGATTGCAAAATTAAAACAAAAATATTATTGGGAAACAATGATAAAGGACACTACAAAATTTATTAATTCCTGCATATCATGTCAACTTTTAAAAACACCAATAGGAAAGAAACCCGGTTTATTACAACCAATACCAATAGAGTCGGGGAAGCCATTACAAAGATTAACTTTTGATTATTTAGGACCATTACCTCCCTCACATGGGAAAAAATATTTGATTTTAGCTGCATGTAGCGGTACAAAAATGGCGTTTGCAAAAGTGGTGGCAAATGCGACCGGGGCAGAAACGATAAATTTTCTAATGGACATAGTAACGTCATACGGAGTACCAAAATAGCAAAAATCTAGGCATTACACAAATATTCTCTAGTGCCTATCACCCGCAGACAAATGGTATGACAGAATTAATGAATAAGATAATATGTAACAGCTTAACACATTATGTCAATAAGAACCAAAAAGACTGGGTGTTATATTATAAATTGGTAGTTTTTGCGTATAACACCTGCCCAAGCTCAAGACTTAAAATAAGTCCTTTCTTTCTGCTGCATGGCATAGAAGCCAACCAACCTTTAGATAATAAGATCATACCAGATAATGACAATTGTTATAGCCTAATTAAATCATTGGAAAAATTACAAGAAATCAGAAAAGAAATACCAAGTATTATACAAAATGAACAACAGATTCAAAAATTAAATTATGACAGATCCCATAAGACTTTCAACATCCTGCTAGGGCAAAAAGTGCTAAAAGAAGTAGAATGAAATAATTTACTAATTAAACAGTTTGTTTTAGAAATATGTACCGAATTCTAGTATTGTTAATAACATGTGCCAAGAACATTAAAATATGGGGAAAATAACATTATAGTTGATAGTAAATAAAAAAAATTCTTATGTAAAATATAAAATTTAAATCTGGAGTTGCAAAAGTTAGTTTTGTAGCTTAGTCGTTGAATCAATAACAATCTATAATATTATTTAATAATGTGTACAAACCTTTTTTTTTATTTTTAAAAATAGCTTAAGACTATTTGTTAATATAAATACTATTGTATTGCATTTTAATATTAATATCTTATTATATTCATTTTAACAAAAACTGTCTTAAACAAATGATTAATAATAAAAAAAAATGTTAATAAAAATAATATCTTATATTGATATACCTATTTAATGTATAATATAACTTTTTATCTTTAGTTCAGTCATCTATTAACTATGTTTTTTCCTTTCTGTCTATAAAAATTATTAGTTATCAAAATGTGTAAAATATAAATATATTTAGCGCATATCTACATAAATATACCGAAATATTTTATCTAGTGTAACTTTTAACATACCTATATCATAATTAATTACATACGTATCTATTAATATTGTGAAATTATAGTTCAATAATACTTTTATTAAAACAACATATAAATTTTTTTCTATAATGCTACATTGTTTTTTTTTTTTGTGTTCATTGTTTACATTATTGAGGTTTATAATACTTTCATCATGTTAAATTTTAAATTTTTAAACCTAACAAAAATTGTTATTATTATGCTTTTGTTGTTGCAGCATATTTCTAATTTTAATATGAAACTATCTGTTCAATCGATTGTTAAATTGTTGGTATGTAAGCAAATTGCTGTGATTACACATTTATAAGTTTTATATTATTATAGGTATAACTTTTGAATAACGCCTTTATTTTGCATCTTTAACAACATATTATTATTTGTATACAAGAATATTGTAAAATTTCACTTCTATTCAAAATTATTTATTTTTTTTTATCTTTTGTAATCATGTTATCATATATTATTTACCATTTATCTTATGATTGACTTGGGTTTTATAGTTTTATTTATCAATTATTTGTAAAACAGCATAATTTTACATACTGTTTTTTTTTTTTTTTTTTATTAAACCTTGGCATTGACAATTGTAATATGATTAAATACATGCGACGAAATAATAGATCAAACGATTCAAACAAAAAATCATCGTCCATCGTCCATCAGCGATACACCGATAGGTACACAAAAAATGTTCGACCAATCTAAGGACTGGAAATAACACTTCTAAATCTATATCCAACGACCACTTCTTTGAGAGAAGACCAAAAAAAGCGTAAAAATATTTATTTTGGTTGACCACGTAACTCCATTACCATCAACTTCTATTTAATTTTATATACAAAACCCATATATAATTTAAATTTCATTCTCAACTGCAATAATTACTTAAAAATATGAGGACATATTTTATGTTACATAGGGGTATATTATGTTGTATTGTAACGATTCGCAGTTTACTGACTCGTCATTTATGTCGGACTCGGCGAATTTGCTTAGGTAAACAGAAAACAGGAACGTAGAGTACGAGCCTATATATTATTGGCATAGCAGCCAGTCGAGTTTTGATCCGTGAAATAGAGACTATACATCAGTCTACTATAGTCATATTTACAATATTATTAAACGTAATTAATTGATTAACTTTAAGTATATAATAACGTACCTAATAGTTAAATTATAATAATTCAGTATTGTTCAACTCGTACTCCGCTACTCCTGTTATCTTCAATATACTACCCATAAGAACAGGGTTACTCAGGTGATACTGTATTTTATTGGTTATAATATTATAATTACTTTAGTCTTGAATAAAACATTGTATTCGTTGGTATACCGTGTTAATTGTGTTAGTTTATGAACGCAGGTCATAAGTTTCTAGGACCTGTAAAATATAACTCAGAAAACTTTATTTATATCAATTCAACAACCCGGATCTAAGGACCGGTTCGTATAGTGGGAATAGCCAACCAACTACTCCTTAACTGGATAGAGTTAGGTATAAATATCGACAGCCACTGGGTTTGACAAACCGAGGAGGTGTGTTGCAAAATGATTTATTTATTTAATTATTTTTTAAAACATTAGATCGTAAGATGGCGTTCCTGAAATCTCTCCAAAAACAAGCCATCAATTTGAACAAATCAGTTGGAGACTTAGTAGTTGATGAGCCCTATGTTATACGGGCAATGAACGAGGTGGTAACAAAATATGGACTGTCCATAGCGTGCCAGCTGGTGGACAACACTTCAGGTGGTGTCATAAATATATTTTTGCCAAAATACATCACCATCGCAAAGGCAGAGGCTGAAGAATATAATATTGGAAAATTACCTATATCTTTAATTGTTCGCGAAAAAACTAATGGCCGGTTTATTATAGACTTTGAATAAAGTCTATAATAAATCTGGTTAAGAAAAAATATTTAACAATAATTTCCTGCTTAACTTGTAATAATAAAAAAAAAAATATATACATATATAGAAATGAGTTTCAATTTATTTTTATTTTAAGGTTATATATTAATTATAATAATAATACATATTAGGTATCTGCTAGAAAAAAAATTAGAAAATAATATAAGTATAATATGCATATATATATATAAGTATTCTACACTTATTAGAATTATCTGATATGCTGAACATAGGTATAAGATTGTTTCAAATAAAAAACATTTTATTTTAAATTTAGGCATACATATTATATTATTTCTAAATAATATTTTTCAAAGTACAACTATATATATATATATTTTTTTATAGGAATCTTAGCAGAAATGTTTTATTTATACATAGTCGCAGCACTTTATAATAATGATAATAATAAAAATAATAATAATAATAATAATAATTATTATTATTATTAAGTAAAAATCTGCTATTTAGATTTGAAAGAAAAAAAAAAGAGAGACATCAGTGTTCTAAATATTAATAATATTTTATTTACACAAAATTAAAAGGTACTACATTGATGATTGCACGTGTTTTGGGAAAACGTTTGATGATCAATTATATTCTTTAGAATCAACTCTGGAAAGATTTAAGCAATATAATTTAAAATTAAAATTGTCAAAATGTAAATTTGGATACACGGAGTTAAAAATTCTAGGAAATATAATTGATGATAAAGGTATCCGTCCAACAGACGAAGGGCTAAAATAAATTACACAAGTGAATTCTCCGACAAACATAAATCAATTACGTAGCTTTTTGGGATTGGCAAATTATTTTCGACGGTACATCCCAAATTTTAGTAAAATCACTTTCCCATTGACTGAGTTAACGAAAGGTAATTGAAAAACAAAAAGAGATACCATAAAATGGGAAAAAAATCATGAAAACGCGTTTAATGAATTAAAAAATAAATTAATAGCGCCACCAGTACTAATGCATTACAATGAAGATGCTGACACTATTTTAGTAACAGACGCGTCTTTATTGGGTTTAGGTGTTATTTTACAGCAGAGGGATGACGACGGTAATATTCATCCGGTATCTTTTGGTGCAAAAAAATTGTTACCAGCACAAAAAAAATTATTCAGCGTTAGAACTTGAGGCATCGGCCTTGTTTTTTGGTTGCACTCATTTTAGACAATACCTGTATGGTAGGTAAACAATTTACAGTTTGGACAGACCACAAAAGTTTAGTAGGACTTCAAAAATTAAAATCAGATTCATATGTATTAAATCGCATAAGAACGAAACTAATAGGATATGAATTTAACATAATATATAAACAAGGTATTTTTAACAAGGCGGCGGATTTTCTTTGAAGACACTGTTGTATCATGCATAATATATAAAAAATATTGTTAACTAGGTTAAGTAAACATTCATATGTAAGTATGTAACAGGTAAAATACCAAAACAATATCAATTATTATGTAATACAATAACAATTAGTATAATTTTAAGTATAGTCAGTAAGTATAAGTAGTGCTTCGATTGTAATATTTATATATAAGTAATATGGGAAGACAGAGAGATGGTCAGAGTGTGGTGATCGTGTGACTCGATTACCACTGGGCATCCGAGTTTAATAAAGTGCTTATAATATTATTTGTTTGTCTATTTGTGTACGTCTGTGATCGACGTATACGACAACACCCAACAGGTTTTGATGAATCGGCACAAATTAAAAATGATACCGAATTAGATTTAAATATGGTAAATGTAAATTCTACTGAAAAATTATACAATTATATTTCTTACGATGATTTTATGCATAAAATTGACCAGGGAGTTGTATTTGACTTCGGTATTAAAAAAGTTAATGAAGACTTGTTTAGCGACTATTTTGATTCGACATTTCACTTAGTGCATTGTGTTTCACAAGATTTTGAAATGAACAATGGGATCAGCCTTAAATTCAAAAATAAATATGACCACGTAAACGAATTAAAGACACAAAAAAAAAATCGGTCAAATCGCTTATTTAAATTTTAATAGTCAGTTTATAATCTATTTAATTACAAAGTCAACATTTTATGAAAATGCAACATACAAATCATTATTCACCACGTTAAAGTCATTAAAAATATTTTGCAGTACATATAACATTAATAAAATAATTTTATCACTTTTTTTTTCACTTTCGACTCGGAAGCATTAAACAGGTTAATTATTTTAAATATGATGAAATACGTATTTTGTGACACAGAAATCGACATGACAATTTCTATATTTACGCCATCACAGCATATAATATCTATCACCAATTAACCTATTAACGTTCATTTGTTGCAAACGCGTGATGATTTTTTACAAAGCATAATCAGAGCAATTCTAAATCCTGAGTCATCAGAAGTAAAATGGGTTAGGAAGGTGAAATCTTACGTAATAAACGATGATGATAGACTAATGTATTATAGGGATATTTATAAAGGTATTCCAAAATTAGTAATAGCATTGCCAACTA